CTTCTATTATAAACGGAAAGGAAAAAAAGAAAAGCACACAGTTTAGGCATTGAATGCTACCACAAAAAAACCACACACAAGGAATGCGCCTTCCTGCATCAACTTTTTCCCATTTAGAAATTGAAAATAACTTAATTCCAAAGCATCAAATAATATCTCCAATATCACAAGCCAAACAAGCCGTGGAAACAAGAAAGAAACTGAAAACAATGTGGGCTGAAGACAACAGAGTTTGCCAGCAAAATTACCTACTACAGGCTTAAAACTGCCTATATACACAACGCATAGTCAAAATGGAGATCTCATTATTCCTCAATGCGTTGACATGTCTTAAGTAAAATGGGGTTAAATACTATCTGGACAAATCTGCCAAGAAGAAGGTTATCAAGGCTACAAAGCAGGCAGATCTAGTTACAACCTCCTGGCTCAAATGCTAAATTGCTGGCTAGATAGTCTGCCTTGATATTTGGACTGGTTTTTTCGTTGTTGGTAGTGGTGAGTTTCTTTGTCGTTTTGTCTTTTTAAATGCATGCACCAGTGGTTGCTACCAAAATACTGTGTTAGTTGGTCTTTCCATCTGAATCGGTAGGGCTATTCTGTTTTTGAAAAGACTGGGAAATAAATCTGTAAAATAACTGGACTATTCAGAAGAGCCTGTATATTATATATTCTCACTACCATTTCTGGCTTCAAATGGCAATGCTGTTTCTATAAAATCTGCATTTCCTAAGCAAGTAAATAGTGAATGAGCAGTTCTTTAAGCTTTCAACCAACACCATTCTAGTATTCAAAAAATATGAAAAAAAATTCCATTTTACAGCATGACTAGTTTGGCCACTGAGGTAAGGCTGAGACTAGGCTTCATTTTAGCCTTATCTGAAAAACTGAAAAAACAGATTTATTTTCTGGAATAATCAGGAGGCTGAAAATATGTGACATGAAACATAAGCCACTGCAATATGTGGTATTAAAAAAAAAAAATTATGGTCAATACTAGCCTACAAAGTCTTTTCCCAAAACTGGACTGACAAAATAGCAGACATAAGTGCATTGATAAAATATCAATAGCCTTTTATCCCTTCTGCAGATCCTCTGTGTTTAAAGAACCATTGGCTGTTTTCAGTAATACTTGACCAGAAAGGTTTTATTTGGAAAGGGTTGGCGGATGGAAAAAAAAAAAAAAAAAAAAAAAAAAGACAGAGACCATTAAACAGGTCATTTATGTAAAAGATTACAAGAAAAACTAGATTTTTTTTTAAATCACTACTCACTCCAAAGTCAGTCACATAGCTGAGAAATATATATATACACACACACACACATATATATATAAAAATTAAATTACGGGAAGATGCCTGATTAGATGTAGAAGAAAAAAATTGCACGTAGAAAGCTTGCTTGCAGCTTCAGCAGCACATTAGTCCCAGGAGCTGATTCAGCCCAGAAAGGAGAGCACAGAGGAGTCTCTGCAACTCCTCTTTGGGCCACAAGATAGAGCCATCACCACAGGCCCTGCAAATCAGTGCCACGCACAAGCCTTGTACCCACTCAAGGTCTTCACCAAGAACGACACTCCACTCTAAAAATGCGGGACCAAAATACATTCGTTCAAAATGAGGTAATAAAACTATTTGCTACATCTGTCAGTATAAAAAAGACAACATAAGCTTTAACAGTTTTATTCTATTTTGACAAATAAAGTTTATTACACATTGTAAACAATCCTGAAACTTAGCTTTCCAGCATGCATAATCTTGCTGAATGGAAATTCTTGCAAAGTATCATTTCACATTTGTGCTGTTCTAATACTGCTTCCCAGACAATTGCATTTGGGATTGGACCATACAGCTCTTTGCTCTCACCTGGCACTGTCACTGTTCCATTTATTGCACAAATCATATGAATTACTCACTAAATGAGCACTCTCGCCCCAGGTACAGAACTGTGTAACACAAGTGCAGGCATCAGGAACCATGGCTTAGTGTCTGGCTTAATTTGTAGATTAATACACTGGTTTTGTTTCACCATAGACATTCACAATATTGTGACACCAGAGTTATATCAGAGTTTTTTTAATAACCAAACTAAGCTGGTTTTTTTTTTTTCCCATTCCCAATAGCCAAGAGAGGAGACCAAGAAGGAGAAGAGTGGCTTCTTCTCCTCAAATACCATTTCATGCAATTACTGGGTTACCCCTGTGCAATACAATGGCATCGATGTCGCTGCCCCTAGGCACACCTCTGTGGACTGCAGAGTACTGATAAAGAACTGTGTGCAGGACTCTAGATAACCTGCTTAAGAGATGAGGAGGGGGAAAAAAAATCTGTTTGCAACTTGTTCCTGTTTGATTAGAAAGTTAATTACAGAAGCACAAGCTGATTTTGGAGTAACTTTTGAAAGTACAACTCAGCTAAGCTCTAATATATACTTATCAGAATTTACTTTTGACATAAAAGAAAATCATATACAAGGAACCCTGCACATTAAGATGCCCAAAAGTCACAGGATGTAGTAAAAGAGATCAAATTTATAGTGCAGCATTCTGTCATTTTTATGCATACTGGCACAAATCAAATAACCTCATAGTGGTATTACATGTCACAACTTAAACTTTAATGTTGTCCATCCTTCATATAAAGGCAAACTTCATATTTCTTTCTCCTGATGAATTATTGCTGTGCTGTTGTCTCCTGTAAGTGCTTGGGTGAGGACAAGTTTACAAGGACCCCATGAAGACAAACTTATGTTCGTTACGATGAATATAAAAGAAAACTACCAGTCCCAGTTACTGCATTCACTTCAGGCTTGAAATATGATTTCTAAAAAAATAAACAAACAAAAAACACCCACAGGCTCACTATACACTGATCCATACAATTTTTGCAATTTGTTTGATGTCGATTGCCTCTTTAAAATGAGGCACTTTGAACACTTCAAACTGAGAACTACCTTCTTCTCAGAGCAGATGTTGCTTCACACAGGAAGAGCCAGCCAAATACAATGGAATCCAGCTGTGTTTCCAATTCCATTTATCAAGATCAGCATATAACTTTGCAGGCTCACATTACCATGTAGTTTGGAAGAGAGCTGAGAATTTTGAGCAGCAAACCTGTAAGGTCATTCTGACCTGAAACTGCCAAGATCACTCAGTTAAAATTTTCCCTTCACCTGTAAAAGTGAATTTCTATTAACAATACTTAGATTTTCTCTCTCTAAAGGCCTGCTAAAGCTCTTAAACTCTTAAAGCTTTTGCTTATAATCAAGTAAGTCACAACTCACTCAGGACAATATTCAGACAGAACACTCAAAAGCATTTTCATTTTCGCAAACGTTTTCAGCTTCTTACCTTCCTACCTCTGCTGCCAGAGCAGCTCAGAGTCAAAATAACGTTTCTCCTCCTTCACCATCTCCTCCTCTTCCTTATTAGAACTCACAAATGAATCATTTTGCTATATAAGTTTCCAGTAAGCTGCTATTCAGCTGCAAAGTAATCCAAAAAGGTTCTCAAACCCACGCAAACTTAGAAAAATGTCAGTACCTAAAAACTGGAATTACAGAGGGAATTTAATTATAACACTATGGTATTTTCTGGAGAATTGAAACTTTTCCAAGCATAGATGTTGGGGTTTTTTTCAGTACTTTGCTCCATCACTCACTCCACTTTTTTTTTTTCCTCCATCTCTTGCTGAATGCCATGCTTGCATTTTGGGGGGGCTTTTCTCATTATTATGATCTGCTCCTGCCTCTGTCCACAATTTTTTCCTCTCTCTTTCACTCCAAGCACAAGCTTCTGTTCTTTCAGTCACATAATTCCAGCTGCTTAGACATTTCTTCCACGGTCAGGACACATCTGAGAGGTAAACAGCATTCATTTCTGGTCTAGAGACTGCACTCCCTTGGAAGTTGCTACTTACCCAACAGGGTATGGGCAACTTCCATGCACGTTTCCTACATGCAAAATACACAAAATTGTTTCAAATTCATGATTTAAGTCTTTTTTACTGTAGCATTTCTCAAACTTTACAAAAGTGCAAACCACCTTTTAGCTAATACATTTTTATATGACTCTTCAACTTGGCAGAGGCACAGAGGAGTGACAGTCAGCTGGATTTCTTGGCTGCAGGTATAAACATTCACTCCCCTCCCCTGAAGGAATAAACTGCTGCCAGCAATTCAAGGCAATTCACAGCTCCCTAGTGAATGGCAAACACTGCCAACAGTTATTTCTCTCTCCCCATCCTGATGGAACTGAGCTGCTGCCAATTAACTGCTGTCGCATTTTCCTACACTTTGCAATCCCTTTGAACCTTTTCATGATTTTAGAGAAAACAGTTTTGTTTCTATATAGATCTATTCACCGCAAATCCTAGTCACAAGAAAGGCCTAATAGTTGTAGCAGAAGCCTCTAGACAAGAGAATCTTGCTAGTTTGCATCTATTATTTGAAAAACATAGTGTTTATAACCAATTTGTATAAAAGCCAAGAAGAATCCAAGGGCAATGGAAAAGAAATCACAGAGACTAAGAAATGAAGTGCACATGAGACAAACTTCATTTAAAAATTTAATGGACTGGAGATTGTACTGCTTTTCATGTTACTGCCTGCATTACTATAAGCTGTGTTAAATGGATTGCTCTTCTATGCTAAAGGTATACATATGTTATATATAAAATATTAATTGTGATGATCCACCAGTCATTCCTTTAGAAGCAGAGTTAAGATATTGGCTAACTTTGCTAGGGCATTAACACAGCATCTGATGGCACAGACCCAAGGCAAAGAGACTCAAGGCTACCAACCTGAGTCTGAGTGAGATTCTGCTGCAAAAGAAGATTTTGCTGAAAAAAACCCTTAACCCAGTTACGTTTTCATTCATCTATCCATAAATGACGCAAGATACATGCAGAACTCTCTCATAATAATCAAAAACAACCTTCTCAATTAAACAAAAAGAATTGAAAAAAATTAACACCTTCTTTATGTGATAGCTAAAAACTCACAAAATCAGCTTCAAGTTTTCCCATTTCTTGTTTGTAGCTTCTCATCCGACTGCTGTACATTCCCCGGCTTTGAGGTGGGATCTCTCGAACTTCAAGTTCCATCTGCTCAAGCTGGCAAGTAAAAATAAGGAAGATACAGATATCTCAAAATGATTATAAAGGTAAGGATTATAATTCAGTAATTGTCTGCAAATACCAAAAAAAAATCCTTTGTTTATTAAGAATACTGCAGTTTGACCTTGGTATAGAAATGTCATCAAATTTATAAATTAAAACGTATTAAGTGTGTATGTACATATACTATTGACATCCTATGAAATATACAAATGACACAATTATTAATACTAATAGTCAGAATGACTATTCAAACCCAATATTCAGACCCAAAGATTTCAGTTCCAAACACTGACGAATGTATTTTATTACAAGCAGCTAGTAAAATTGAGGTTAAATAACTTCCTGCACAGGAATAGGATTCAGGACATAGCCTACCTCCTTCTAGGGTGTGTGCTTTCCTGAAACCTCTAGGTGAAAAGATATACTTAAGTATCTTTAACGAGATAAATATATATGTATCTAATACCATCTTCAATATTTAATAACATAATTCTAGTTCTACTGAATCAGCACAGAGTCACAGGAAATCAAAAGAATCTAAAAGCCCGTGTGATTCTGCCACTAATTGTCTCTCCACCGGGTCATGAGGCCTCCTGTTTAAAGATTGCTCAGGGACTCTGCACATCAGGCAAGGGATTCTTCTCTGCTGTTTAAAAATATGTTTAAGACTTTACTTTAAAAAGATTTAAAAAATAAACAAATTAAAAATTTAGAGCAGAAATACCCATCAATTTGAGTCTCACACCGTAAGTTACAGGTCTTCACAAAAGACAGCTACAGTTTATTAATTGTCTGCTTACACTATAAAATTTCAGTCTTGGGCCAGAAAAGCATCCAAATTTAATCAATAAAATTGCCAGATTCTGAAACAAAAATCATTCAGCCTGATCTGTTCTGATTATATATAAAATGGTATTTAATGTCATTAACTGTAAAGCAGAGCTTAATTTTGTAATCGGTAATGAACTGAAATGCACTAAACTAATTCTTTTTCTCTGACAATTTTCCAAAGGGATTTTTACAACTGAAGCTAATAGCTAGAATCAATGGCTTGATTCTTATCTACTTCATTTCAATATATTTGATTTCAAATGTTTCTATAAAAATAGAAAACATTTCTCTTGCATACATAGAATGGTACGTGCAAGGTCAGAATATATTAACAAAGTCTCAGTTCTTTTCAGTTACATAAAAATTTAATCATCTCCCACACAAATCCAGAATTTGTATCAGGAATCAGATCACAGCCCGTGAAATCCTGAATTCCCATTCCAAGAGTCAGTATCAGAGATTGTATATTCAAAGGAAAACATTTTTCATGTACTTTGAAACACCTCAGACAAAGATGAATAATTGTGAGTCTGGGCTGAAAAAAATTTAGCACTTTTTTTGTCATCATGAGAATAAAAAGATATGTTTTGTGCCTGGGCTGATAAATTTCCAGGCCAAGTCAAGCTGAAAACAATGTTTCTGGTAGATGTCAACATAATCACAAACTCATTGCCTGCATCTTCCCTTTCAGACCTCCTATTCTGTTCATAAAACTGTATTTTGTCATACACAAGCAAGAAAAATATAGTTAGATTCTACAAAAAGCTAGAAAAATCCTGCTACTTCAATCTCTGAACAGAAAGAAAGCTGAAGTCTTCTTCAAAAACTCAAATGCTCGAAGTTCTGCTGTTGTCTATATTCAAACATGCCATCAGTGTGGTGAGGCTGAGCATTTTGGCACCTAACTCTGACCCAAATGTATAAATTAGGCCCTGTCCTCAAGATTCCACATGGATTTAACCAGGTAAGATTGCTCCTGACAACACTCACTACACTCCTAGCACTGAATACAGCAAAAGCAGAGCAGCCACAGATATTTCCATTTAAAAAAAAAAATATATATAACAGGGTGAGGTAGAGCTGATATTGCCCATTGAGACTCCAGAATAATTCTCTTCCCCACACAGGAACATTTCCACATATAAATTGCTCTGGACTATAACTGAATTCTCTGGAGGATTAGGGACGTCCTGAATAATATCTCAAGTTCTTTCAAATTCTATTCTGAATATTGGTAACTAGACATCAGTATTCACCTTGTCCTGATACGGCTGACAGACTCAACTGCATTCCACATTCCTTCAAAAAACCCAAAATTGCATCCTACGTAAATCTTAGGAGAAACTTTTTTATATGATGAGGACAGACAAGCAAAGGGGTGGGTTGCCCAGACAGGTTGTGCACTCTCCATCCTTGGAAGTTTTCAAAGCCCCACTGGAAAAAGCCCTAAGACACTTGGCCTGATCCAACATCTGACTCCTTCTCTGAGCATGAAGCTTTCCTTGGGTACCCTCCTCCATGCTCACACTTCAAGCTGTCATGAATATTAGACCACTCCACTATGAAATTTACTCCAAAACAAAATCCCTTTTCCACCAGAACCTATCCAGCCTCCACAATAAGTGAAGTTTTGTTCTCTCTGCAAAAAGAGATAGATTTCTTAATTTTAGAAAGACTACGAAGAGAAGAGAAGAGAAGAGAAGAGAAGAGAAGAGAAGAGAAGAGAAGAGAAGAGAAGAGAAGAGAAGAGAAGAGAAGAGAAGAGAAGAGAAGANAGAGAAGAGAAGAGAAGAGAAGAGAAGAGAAGAGAAGAGAAGAGAAGAGAAGAGAAGAGAAGAGAAGAGAAGAGAAGAGAAGAGAAGAGAAGAGAGAAGAGGATAATCAGCAGCAAACTGCCCAGCTCGTGGCAGTCTCAAACCCCTTTGGGTGTGTTCTGGAACATTCTAGCACATTCTAAATTTTATACTTCAAATAATTTCTCTGAGTTTACATTGAGCATCTTTAAAATCACTAACATAAATTCGTAAATGTCTATATTAAAATTAAATCCTTAAATGTCTCTCCATATAGAAATACACTCAATTACTACTGCACAGAAAGCAAGAATGACAGGATTTCTCTCTAGAGCTCTTATTCAACACAACTCTTGTGAAAAGGTCCCTTAAAAGACTAAAAAGGCTTTGGAGTCAGCTCTGTATATATTAGTTGAATTAGAGTAATGATCTTACCCAAAGCAAACAGCATTAAAAAAAGCCAACAGTCAATATCAACAGTCAATATCTCTACAAAAACACTTAGAATACACGAAATGATAATTTTCTAACAAAGTAGAAAATAAAACAAAATAGGCTAATCCCATCAATAGTGCCTGAAAAAAGTCAGTACATGAAAACTAACAGTGACAATGAATTTGGTTTGTTTCAGTTTTCTGCTTCAGTCTTTGGTTTAAAAGGGAGGATATTTTTAATCTGTTTGTTCAAACCTATTAGCAGGTTTGTTCAAATCGATTTGAAACCCAAACCTTGACATTTATCATTAACATGCTAGGTAATTACTTAAAGCAAATAATTGCATGAAGCATCTGTCTAGTAGCGTTAGCAACAAAATCTAAAATAAAAGCACGAAGAAAAGTCAGTACATTAAGTTCAGCATTAAAAGGAAAATGCTGATATGGGATTTACCTTTTAATCCTATAATAAATACAAATCTAGATTATCATCTTCTGACATAACTATTAATAAGTCATTAACTCAGTTTCTGTCCTTCCAATCTTACTAAGATCAAAAAAACCTAAATCTGAACATTTTTTCACCAGAGCACCTACTTTGCATGCAATTTTCAGGTGGAAAGGAAGAAAAAAAATGGGGAAGGAAAAAAAGTCGTTCTCTATTTCTATTTCCCTTCAACTATTTGAAAATGGAAGTATCTCCAAGTCGTAAGATATCTTCAGAACATCCTCATGAGGTGCAGCATGTTCTTATGTATGAATAATTGATATATGAGTAATTTTATCATATTCCTCCCTGAGGATTGTGAATCAGCGAGGTTAGGCACTTGGCCAAGGTCACTGAGGAGCCTGCAGCAGAGTCATCCTGAGAGCCAGCTCTCCAGTGCTCTGACCACAAACCTAAACTGAATTAATTTTTAAAACAAAAGCTCCAGGTGTGTCCCCAAACATATGAGAGCCCTTTTACTTCCTGTGTCAAAAACTTAAAAGTGTCAATATTTTTGTTTAGTCAATATTCAAGTTGCATAGTTTTAAAAACCTCTAAGTTTCCAGACCAGGAGGACTATAGAGAAATATTGGCTATGTGGGATGGGGGGTGGAAATCAATTCCTACTGTGACTAAACAACCTTCTCAGACACTCCACAAGACTTTACTTTGTAGTCCAAACGAAGTACATGACAGCTTGTAAAGGAATAAAATAGAAAAAGCCACAAATACTTAACATATATAGTTTTATTCTATCACAGCAGAGCACTAACTAATGCTTGATTAACTGATATTTTTCTCAGAACAATACCCCATACAACCACTTCCCTCCGACCTCAAATTTACTCATTCACTATAAGTGAAAGAATGATCTATTAGTCTAAAAGACTATCAAATAGATTAAGTGCAAAGTGGATCCTATAAGGAAAAAGAAAAGCTCTATATGTATGAAATTGAATGAAAATCCTAGAGCGAAAAAAACTAAGTCAAAATTCATAGCAGCCTGCAATAGCTTGCAATAGTATCAACCTTAAATCACTTAATCCAAAGGGATACATCAAATATATTACTCTTGTGTATTTCATATTCTAAAATATTAACACAGTACTTCCAGGCTAGCATATATGCTAAATATTACCATTAATGATATTTATTTTTTTTCCAGAAATTGGCAGTTAACATGAAAAGTCATGACATACCAGTTCCCTTGCTTCTTCTAGCTGTTTCTCAATACTTGCAACCATTTGCTTCTTCTCATCTGAAACAGAATTATGGAGATACCAATATAATTATGCTCTTGTCATGAAAGAAAACTGCACCGTTTCAAAAGAAGCTTATACCTATCAGTTAAAGCTGACTCAAAGGATTTATTCTGTATGACATTAGCATGCACTGTGATATACATAACAGTATTTTAAAAAAAGAATAGGATCAAAGGAGGCTTGAAATATTTTGCTTTGCTGTAGAGGAGCTTACGAATTAGGAAAGGAGCTATGGTTGCTCAAATTGTAAGAGTTCAACAGGAACAGGATGTATAGCAGCATACATTATGACAAATGGAAAAAAAAAGATTCATGGTTTAAAAAACAAGATCTATTATATTTATTTGTACAAAGGCAAACACCCTCGCTGTAACAAACCCAGACACTGAATAAAAGGTCTGTATTCCCCTCCTTTATGCCAAGTCTACACTCCCTGGGCCTCCTACCTCAAAAAAAAAAAGGTTCCTTATAACAATAAAAATGCAAACTAGTATTAAAAGATAAAAATAAAAAAATAAGTTAAAGTCAGTTATGAGCTATAAGCACCAAGCATCTTATTCAGAGTTGAACATGATGGGTTCTGCAGAGTCTCTAGGCCAGGCTCTCCCCAGGTGCAGGTTCCCAAGCAGCAAGCGTGTCTGAGCTCGGTCCTGTCTCTAACCACCCCTTCTCATTCTGAGATTTCAGTAAGAAATTAAAACTGTCAGTATGAAATGAGAGCTGAAATGCAGTACTGTATCTATCAAATATTCCAACTGCTTAATCATTTAATTGAGTGTAGCATAAAAGGGGGCTCAGGGGAATCCTCACTCACCAGGTAATCAAAAAGTCCCTCAAGTGCTGGGCTACGAGGGGCAGTATTCAGGGTGTGCAATACTGCCACTTGCACTGCTCCTGCCTTCCGCACGGCCCCAAAGCCTCTCCCTGGAAACCCACCTGTAGCCTCAATGCAGTTACCAACAAAACTCTAGGACACCAACTGTGAAACCACCCAGCACAGATACTAGCAGCCATTACTCCTTAGACATGATGAGGGACAAGTCTCCAGTGGCACACGGGACTTGACTGAGTATCTTCAAGCTTAAGGATTTTTTTTTAAGTTGAATTTGTTTCTCTACCATATGATCTCTTTATATCTATGTGTTCACTGCTTAGAGACCAAAATGGACTGGCTACCCAGTGATCTCATCTGATCATCTGCACATCACAAACTACTGAATTCATAAATGAACTCCTTTGCATACACAGTCTTTCATGGGATGAAATGCTTTAAGTAAATTGAGTTCCTTACACAGAAATTGGCAGGTGCCAAGTAGGCAAAGTTAGAATCTTCCATTGTATAATGCGAGATGTGCCCTACCATTAACCTTCCTAAAAAGCAACAAAACTCCTTCAGAAAGATGATATTGCTACAGCATTTCTGGTGAAGTATCCCCACTACAAGGGGATGCAATTCAGCTGAATCCAACTGTTACTCCATGCTATCCTGGAATACATTTGGACGGGCCTATCCACTTACCTCCTGTTTCTCCACTGTCACCCTCCCAGGGAATGACCTGTCACTCTGTTAAGGACACACTAACACCAGGACCTGTCCTCCTCCTTCAGTTACAGACACTGCAGCTCTGCTCACAGGGAGGAGCAGGTTCACCTAGCACTGAGGCAGCCTCACACCCCAACCCCATCCTATTCCACATGTGCAAATCAAAGTGTTTGGGGGTGACAGCAGTGAGAAATGAATGGCTGTATCTGGCAAGTGGAGCTAGAATAAAATACTGGAAAAGTCTGAATTACTCTGAGTAACAGAAACTCTGCAACATAAGCAGGAATGAATGACTACAATCCTAGCCCTCCCCAAACACAGCTCCCTCCAAAGAGGCCCCAAATTTGATCATGCAATCCCTTACACAGAGGTGAAGCCAACAAAACAGCCACCCTTCCTGCAAATCCTGCAGGCACACCACCACCACCAGCACGTGCTACTGTGCCAAAGCTGAAACGGCTCATTTCTCATGCAGCACTTCAATTTTCCATTAGTTTCACTTTATTCTGTTTCCCACTCGGGCAATCAAGACAGAAAAATATCTAATGGTTAAAATGATATTAATTAACCCTCATTGCTGCCACTCCCATGCCCAGGTAGTTCAGTTCCCCTACCCTGCATCCCAAAACATGTTCCTCCCTTCATCTGCAAGCAGGTAAGATGATGCTGACACACCAAAGGAAAAACAATGTAAGAGATAAAATACACAATGCCATTTTATTGCACTCAAAATATGGTCTAGAATGTGTCAGCAGAAAATAGATGCATTACAGTGATTTCTGATACTCTCACAAGATTTATTGAATTACAATTTTATATACCTTAAAGTGACACAAAAAAATTTTTTTCAAGTCCTTTCATGCTGTTCAAACCCTGCGTGCATCTGGAATTACAAGAGCTACCTAGCACTTCACTGAATACTATTACCTCCAATACACTGAACACCATTTCTGTTGAACACTTTAGAGCCCATTACAGTCCACCACTGCATTTTACACCCGCAATATTATTTGTTCCATTGCAGTTCTTTACACTAGTGATCCAGTCAATGTTTCAGGAAAGAAAAATACCAAACGGACCAAGTATTAAGCTTATGATTCTCTTCATTGATCTGATTAATATGTATAAGTACATGAAGGGAGAATGTAGGGAGGAAGAGGCCAAGCTCTTCTCACTGGTGGCCAGTGACAGAACAAGGGTTAATGGGTCTAAGTTGAAACACAGGCAGTTCCATCTCCATGTGAAGAGGAACTTCTTCACTGTGAGGGTGACAGAGCCCTGGCACAGGCTACCCAGGGAGGTTGTGGATTCCCGGCTGCTGCCCCGAGGAGGAATTCAGGAATAGCCTGAATGCCAGGCTATGCTGCCCCCTCAAATAAGGATTTGTGAATTGGCACCAGGGCAGCTTGCTCAGTCTGCAGGTGAGGGTGGAACAGGTTAGTCCAAGTGAAGCTTGTCACTAATTAGGCAGATCAGGAAGAACAAGTTACCAGCCAATTAAAGAGCATCACATTTTAATAGGTAAATTTCATCCTCTGGGTTTACTCAGGTTTTTCCACTCTACCTACCTGGCATTTTCTAGAAGTACTTCTATAATACGGATGACATTTTTTAAATACAACTACTTCTCTAAACAAAGATCAGATCTGTATTTAAAAAAAAAAACAAAATTTTCTAAATTTAGAAGAGAACTTTTCTCTCCACACTGCCATAGAGCATATCCTGAAGGAAATGGCACATTTATAATAGCTGGCCCATTGACAAAATGTAGATAAATCTAAAAACAGAGAAGAAAAACAGATTTCTAATTGAGAAGTACGAAGAAACCCCTTCTCTACAGTCAGGGTCTGGCTTAAATGAAACAAGCTTTTACTGCATTTTCCCTCAGCTTTGCCCTTGCTTTCTTCACTTTTACTGCATTTTCCCTCAGCTTTGCCCTTGCTTTCTTCACTGTTTTAACCCCTTCTAAATAGAGCAGGGCTGCAAACAGGCGGATGTCTGCCTACAATTGTAGGAAGGCAGCACAGCACTGATCTGAGCTCACAGCCAACCAAGAAACGCACAAACAAAACTTGAACAACATCAATTAGTTTCACTGCTTGTGGAATTACTTTTTACTAGCATGTGCTAAAAATGAGAGACAGAAGGCTTCAGTGCATGGGCCACTGACATGTTTTGTTTCTCTTTGGGATGGTTCCATGTTCACCTAACACTTTATGAGAAGTTACTGTCCAACACTAAGACATATGGAACAGCATGTGTGTGTTTTCCTCCTTTGAGGCACAAAAGCTATAAGGAAAAGCCCAGACAATTTGATTTTGGTGTAATTTATGGGGTTGTAAAATCTGGTAGCAAGGACATACCACAATGAGTCTGCTGCAAATTGTAAACTCCTGTACAGAAGCACAGTGGGAAACTAAAGATGGGATTTTCCTCAGCTAAATTTGTTAGATACAGCCCAGAGTGCTTTGATTGCCCAGCAGGCGATAGAAGTACCAAGCATGAAATTAAATACCACTGTATCTACCACTGCACGAGGTGAAAACCTCAGCACTGGGAAACAGCTAACTGTCACCACCCGAGCTGGGAACACATGACAAGATGAAGATACTTCTCTACAACACCAAGAACATTAGTAACAAACACACAGCCAGTGACCTTCACTTTACAGACATCTGTAGCAGCAGCATGGAGCATCTATTTAAAACCTGTTTCTCAGTTCAGAACACTTGCCTTAGGTCTTCAGATGACATCTGCCTTTACAGAAGATCTTTCTTCCCAGGACAGTCTACTGCCCCTACTGCTTATTGTTTCTGTAGCATGAGTGCGCTTTTGTTTTGTTCCTTGCTGAACTATTTATGGTTTGTGACAATAGGATTGTTTGTCGAGCCACCATCCTCCTAGGACAGACAATCACGTCAAGTCCTGACAACAGTAAACACAGGAATGCTGGAAACACAATTCGCCAGTGTTTCTCCAGTGCAACTGAACATGAAGCTTACAGTAGGGTCCATCTTGCGTAGCAGAAGAAATTAAATCAGTCACTAGACTTCAGGAAATCTCCTTGTCTTATGCAGCAATAGCACAAGTTCTTACACCTTTCATCCTGCTTCTTCCAGGCTGGGGAAAGAGGCCATCAACAACCTCTGAAATCTCTGTTGCTGAAGATGCCACCTCACGTGCACATCTCCACATCCCCCTCCCACTTCGAATCACATCCTCTTTTGAGGAACTCCCAGCCATCTCCACAAGAACTAACTGGAACTTCTGGTGAGGAAGCAGCAAAGATCTTGCAAATTCTCCTATTAAGAAACAAGGGGAAAACATGTATTTAAAATACTTCTGTTTAAAGTGCTCAGCATATTCATAGGGCTTTGTTGTTGATGTTTTCCCTCCCCAACAAGCTGCAAAATGCCTCTTTTAGTTACAACTGCTTTTTAGTTTAAAGTAAGAATAGTCCTGAAACATTTCTTTCATTCTATAAGTACGCAGAGCAACCACTAGCCTTAACACAAGCCAGTCCAAACCGCAAACCACCATCCTCAAATCCTGCCATGGAATCTTAGAAGTTTGGCTGTTGTCATATCTTGAAGCCATTCACCCCAATGCCACACTATTGATCCCATTGGGAAAACACATTCTTTCTCTTTCAGAGAGACAGCAAGTCCTAAAAATCCCTTCTAACAGCTAGAGAAAAGAATTATAGTTTCAAAGCTTGGTACTGACATTTTACATCACTGCAAAACACAGTACTCTATTCACCTCACATCTAAAATTGAAAAGTTCCCCAAGTGGATAAGGAAATAGATTTTAAGGAAAGCATTATGGAAATCCATTGCTGATGATCACAACATCTTTCCTACTGAATCACAGACACCAATGGCTTACAAACTGCATACAATTACCAAATAGAAATTTCTACTTTTTTCAATCATCTCACTGTGCAGCATTACAGACCTCTAGAAGATGAGATATTACTGCATTTATAATGTGTCTTCCTGTTCTTACAAAAAGTCCTTAAATTCACTATTGAAGAGCAAACAGATCCTCTGGAGAGGGGTTTACTGCTTGCCCTCATTAACCTGCTCTAGTGGCCACATAAAGGTACAGTATTATGCCTGTATAGCCCCAATTACACTAGCTTTAAAATCCAATCACTCCAACTCACAGAATCTCTCCTCTCTAGAGCCCTACACCTCTGTTACAGGATCCCTGAATGGCTCAGGCTGGAAGGGGCCTCTGGAGACCTTCTCACAGTCCCTCTGCTCACGTTGGGTCACCTAGAATGGGTTGCCCAGGGTCTTGTCCAGGTGGCTTTCTAATACTTCCAAGGATGGCTACTCCACAACTTCCCTGCAAAACAGAAACATTACCAGACAGAAAAAGCTTTTGCCCTCCTAAGTACCTACAGGCTGTAACCGAATCACCCCCAATACCCTTTCTAAGCCTAACAGCAAAATAGCTGTGGTAAGCCTATGAGGAAGCAGTTTCCTGCCCTTTAATCATTCTTGCAACTGGTCACTGAACCTTGCTTTACCAGTGAATTTTTTAACTTAACAACATAGCTAGACATAATATCCCCACACCAAGTATGTATTTTGCTCAAAACTCCCCTACTTACTCGTGTCAGATGTACTTTAGACCCTGAGCCAGTGTTGCCCTGGAATCTGGTGTTTTACATGAGGCTTCTTCCTTCACGCTGATCGCCTCAAAGCCTACTTACAGTCACTACCTCTTGCTTTGGAGGGCAGCATGAGAAGTCCTTGGTTGCAGCTGCATGGTGTAGAGGGTTTTGCTTGTTTCTTTATCTTTGGTCATACACACAAGTATACTGTTGCTGGTTTTTGTTTTCTCTTCCAGAAGTACTCAAAACTGAGGTGTCTCCGAGGTATCCCTGAGCTTTGGGAAATGTGTTTGCAAAGCACAGACAAATACACTTAATGACTTGAGTGCTGAAAAGACATTAAGCTGAACCACAAGAGGAACAGCTGAGAAACCTGGTTATTCTCAGCTTCCCTCTGCCCGTGCTGGGAGCCCCACGTCAGGGCACTGATTCACAGGCCCTGGAAGTTTCTGCAGGGCTCAAGACACCGTCGTTCCCAGGCACCTGCCCTTGCAGTCTGGCAGGAACTCCTGTCCCTGCTGCAGAAACAGGTCACGAATCAGACCGAGAAGGCTGTAGGCTACTGACAAACACATCAAAGTAAATGAACACTGACTCCTTTGAAGCTCTTCCTACGTATGTGTCACCAGAGCCAAACATCCAAATCAATCGCCTTAGTGGCGGACTGCAAGCATAACGATTTGGGTGAAATCACAGGCAGATTCTCTCTATGCCACAAGTGCTGGAGAATACAGAAAGTCAGAGGAGCACAAGGAGCCTCAAGACCAGAGCAGGGAGCGCCCGAGGGCGACGCTTGCTCGGGGAGCGCCTGGGCTCGGACGGGGGCAGCGCGGGGCCCCTGGGAGGCGGCGGGCAGGCGGCACCGCCCGCGGTTACCCGCGCTGCGCGTTCCAACGCGGCCCCGCGGCACGATCGGCGGGCCCGGGGGCAGCGGCAGGCGCCGCGGCAGGGCCGGGGGCGGCCCCAGCGGCTCCGCGGAGCCCCCGGCCGCGCTCACCTCCCAGCAGCTTGGGCACCCTGGCGATGCGGCCCGTCACGTCGGCCGTGAGCACGGCGAAGTCCTGCTCGTAGCTCTCGAAGTCGGAGGACATGCTGGCGGCGGCGCCGGGGAGCCCCGCGCGGCCCCGCTCCGGCCTCAGCCCCGGCACCCGGACGCAGCCGGCCGCCCGCGGCCGCTCCGCTTCCGCGTTGCGCCACGCGAAAAGGTGCCCCCCCCTGCCGCCTCAAGACTCAGCGCAGGTTCCGCCGCCGCTCCGCACAGCCCGCGCCACCGCCCTGCACAGGAAGAGACGCCCCGTGGGCGCCCTACAGCGCGCGGCGCCACCCCCGCCTCCCGCTCTCGCCTTTAACGGGAGCGCAGAGCTCCCGCCCTTCCCGTGGAGCGGCAGCAGGGAGCGGTTTCCCGAGGACCCCAATTAGCGGCGGCTGTGCCGGCGCGGGCCGGAAGTGCCGGCGGCGCGGGGCCCGTCATGGCAGCGCCCTGCGCGGCGCGCGGGGCCGGCGGCCGCTCCTGAAGCGCTGGCGGCGCCGCTCGCCGGGCCCCGCGCGGGCCGCGCGCCCTCCCCCCTCCCCCCCCGCAGGCGCGGCGATGCGGGCGCTGCGCGGGGCGCGGCGCCTCTGCCACTGGGGGCCGCTGGTGGCGCTGGCCGTGGTGGCCGTGTGCTCCGGCACGGCGCTCGCCGACGCCGCGCTCTGGTACTGGCCGCTCGACACGGCCGGCGGCGGCCTCCACTTCCTCGTGCTGCTCAACTGGACCGTCATGATCCTCTACAACTACTTCAGCGCCATGTTCGCCGGGCCGGGATACGTGCCGCTGGGCTGGGCGCCGGTAAGGGCGGCGCGGAGGGCAGAGCCCGCTCGGGACCCCGCGATAGCCCCGCTCGGGGCCGCCCGGCCCCGCTCCCCTTCCCTTCGCGTGGGTCCCGCCCCGCCGAGCCCGGCCCGGGCGCACGCGGCCTTCTCTGCGTTTGTTTCCAGTAAAACCAGCGCAGTGCCCCGCGCTGTTGACTCACAGAAGCCAACAGTGGAAGCTTGTTTATGCAGAGTCACCCTTCCCCGGTCAGGAGTTCTTTATTTCTTTTAACAGTGAGAATTGGCTGTGTTGATAGCCAGAAGTGCCGAGGATTTTTTTTTCTTCCTGCTACTTGCAGTTAAATGGATTAGGGGTGTGAATCACTCCCCATCAAAGTAAACCAGGAATGCATTAGGTTAAGGAAGGGCTAAGATATGTCCTGCTTGTAGAGTCATGTGTTTCTGCCTAACATGCCTGTTTTTGTGTTCAAAGGAAAAATCTCAGGATTGCATGTATCTCCAATACTGTAAAGTGTGCCAGTCTTACAAGGCACCACGGTCACACCACTGTCGAAAATGCAACAGGTAGCGTCTCTGTTTGAAACTACCTTATACCTATATTTAAAGCAGCTTTTAATCTGGCACTAACTGGGGGCTTTTATTGGGAGGGAAGGGAACAGGAAGATGTTAAGTGAACTGAGGTGCCTTTGGGGTCAGTTTAGAAAGTTAATGCCATGTTATGCGCTGATCTTCCAACAGACTTTTGTGAGCTAAAGGATGCATTATTACAGAAAGCCACACTGGAATCTAGCACAGCTTGAAAAGAAGCCACTTTTGATTGCAAAAGCTCTGCAGGCCTGACCGTGGTTGAGTTGAGCTTGAGTTAACGGGACAGGCCCTCATCTGAAGGATTATGCAACATCAGAAGGGTGTTTATAAATGTGAGCTCCACAGATGTGTCTGTGGATCTGTGCTTTTGGGAAGCAGAGACTAAAACTGTAGACCAGTGACATAATTTAGCTGCAGCATCCTGAGATTTTAAATTAGACTCCTGCTGTTGATGAGCAATCTGTTTCCTTCTATGTGGTTCTAAGGAGTTATCATTGAAAATAACACTGAAATGGATTGTCATTGAAAATGATAACAGATCCTAATGATCCTCTTTGCAATAGCAACTTCTTTTAGTAATTTACTTTTTGAAAATTAAGATAGAGAAATTTATAGCGCAACTTCGTAAAACCGATCATTAGAATAATTTGAAGTTTGTGCCTCCTGAACTGGAGCCAAATACACGTTCCTAGCCTGTTTCCGTTCAATAAAATAGACTACTTAAACTGCTGCTGAAAATTCTTTACACTGTGGCGAATTTCAGTATATGAAATCACATTTTTTTTTCTGTTAGTCGTATATGCACTTTCTGCAAGTACTTCTCAATGAATTTGTTATTTCTGTTAGTTTCTTTAGTACCTTTCATTTAGGTAAATCAGATGCAATTAGGACGCAGGAGATAACGAGATTAGGTTCTCCTGTATTTTCTTTGACCTGGGCGGAGAAATAAGAGGATCTCCAGAAAGATTGCACCAGAAATTTTTCATCATGGCTGTTTCTTGCTATGAGCTTGGATAATAAAATGGGGATCTTCCTCATGTAATTCTAGGATCTTTAAAGACATTTCAGATAAGCTTAAATAAATGAACAAAGGTAGAATTGTAAATAGTGAAGTGTCTTTTAAGCTTTTTGAAAGACTTCATCAAGGCCCTTGATATGAATCAATGTTTTTCCCAGGTGTGTCATGAAGATGGATCATCACTGTCCTTGGATCAACAACTGTTGTGGATACCAGAATCACGCGTCTTTCACCCTCTTCCTCCTGCTAGCGCCACTGGGATGCATTCATGCTTCTTTCGTTTTTGTTATGACTATGTACACTCAGCTTTATAACAGAGTAAGGAAACAGTTAAATGCTTAAAATATTCCTTAAGCCAAATGAGTAATTTCTTTTTGGAAATAGTGATTTTGTTCCCAGTAAAGAAGCAAGTAGAATTATTTGCTACTGTTTTAACCTGTGCTTTCAGTTCTGCTGTTCATGATTTCAGAAGCATGTTCATTAACTGGAGAAGGTTTCAGAAAAAGATAGACATTTTTTTAATATTTTTTTTTTCCCTGTTGCCTGTTGTAATCATTGGCAGTTTTCCTAGAGCTTGGCATTAACTGAAGATGGTTTTTGGGTAGCACTTTTACAGAGACAGGAAATCTTTTCCTGTGGTTTGGCTTCACACAATCTGGCCACCGTTTATTTCTGGAACACAAAGTGGATGCTATTCATTTCCTTTTCCCTGTCACATGTTTAGAATTGTATTTCTTTAAGGAAAAAAAAAGTCAATTGTTTCTGGAACTGAAAATGATTTATGCTTGGTGTGACCTGCTACGTGCGAAAGTTTTTAGAAGAAAACCTGTAGCATTTCCATTGAAAATGGATACCGTGCTGTGTACACATTTTCAGTATGAAAGTACTGAAAGTTTTTTGCTAATGTGCCATAGTGTAGATTTTGCTGCATATTTTAGGCCTAACTTGTTGTAAAGTATGCCAGAAAATGCATGCTTGATTAAGCCTTTCATCTAGGAAAGGCCTAGATCCATCAAGAATGTGTTTCTGAAGAGGAATGCTTTTCTGAGCATTTTTTTCTGTAACTATTCCACTTCCTATAAATCTATGAGAAGTCAGGCATTACCTTGAGAGTCCTGTTTCTTATTGCTAACTTATTTTGTTTCAGTAACTGAAATATTCCAGAGCTGAGTAATTATATTTTCCTTTCATAGATATCCTTTGGGTGGAGTTCTGTAAAGATTGACATGAGTGCAGCCAAAAGAGACCCTCGACCTATTATTCCTTTTGGACTGTCTGCATTTGCTGCATCTTTATTTGCCTTAGGACTAGCATTAGGAACAACTATTGCAGTTGGTATGTTGTTCATTATCCAGGTGAGCATCTGGATTCCTTTACAAGAAGAGAAAAGCTGTAAGTTGTGTTTAATGTGTTGTTAATACCAGCTATGGAGCAGGAACAGAATTCAGTATTGAGATGGGAGCAGTTGCTTAGAGTTTATGTGGCTATGTAATTTTATCTTTTTTTTTCATACCACTTTCTCCCACTTCCCCTATTGTTACTGTAATCATTTTTTCATAAACTTGGGATTGAAATTCTAACAGACAGATTAGATGGACTCCTTTTCTAAGCAATTCTCCAATAAATTCTGTTTGGAGAAAGGCAAATCACTCAGTATCTCTGGACTTAAATGTATCTGTCCCTAGAAAATAAGAATAATTCAATATATGAAATGCCATCACATTTCAAATGTGTGAGATCTTTGCAAGAAAAGAAAAATAATACATTTTAAGCCTAAACTGAAATATTGTGCGATGATTTTTAAGCATACAATTCTAAAGGGGGATGTCAGCATGTTATCTGTGCAGTATTAATCAATCTTAAGTTTTAATTAAGCATATAACAGTTTCTTCAAAGCAAGTACTTTGTTAACTGAAGCTTTGTTTGCCTAGCTGATCGGTTTCTGTGGAGAGTTAATGCTATTTTCATCTGACACTTATTATAGATGAAAGTCATCTTGACAAATAAAACTTCAATTGAATCCTGGATTGAAGAAAAGGTAAGCTTTCACTGCAGTGCTTCTGCACTGTATTGTTTCAAAGCTAGCCTCTAAATTTATGAACTACTTCTTTTGCCTGTCTGGATTTAAGCCAATATTAATTCAGTGTTTTTTCAGTTCACTACTGACTTTGGGCCTACCGCCAGCTCTTTGTTACAGTCTCAGAATTTCACTGAAATAAACAAGAAAACCCTATCTGTTTAAAGGATTTCTGTGTTTGATTTTATTTATTGTGGCATTCAGAATAATCCTACATAAATGCTTGCTTATCTGCATGGAATATGTGACATTTTTTACAAGCATATCTTTAATTTTCCAATTCTACATACCATGTTTTGTCTCAGTTTTTCAAGTTCCCTATTTTTCTGTCGAATTAAACTTGGAAGGACATTCCATTTTGAAGAAGACTTACAAAACTATGGGATATATAGTCTTTCCTTCTTTACATTTCTCCTTAAAATCTGTATCTTTTCAGAGGTTTCACAAGCAGTATAGCAAAGAAGCAGAAGCTGAGTTTAGAGGAAGCAAAAGATGTGGAATCATATGCAGGATTTTTTTCTTTTTTTAACTGTATAACATAGATTATTAATATGTCCCTTTTGAAGACTGAAAACAACTACAATACGTAAATGTTTACTGAAAACTGCACTAT